GCTGTTTCCGGAATACCCTCGACACAAGGAAATGAAAAGAGACAACAGATCCGTAACAACAACATAAACCAGGAAAAATAATAATATCAGCAACGTAAGAGACGACAAATAAATGGGAGGGCAATAACACAATAACTCAACATAAGTCGCAAGCAGTCCTAGAAAAAACACTATCTGAATAGCCGGTACAAAGAGGAAAACATGCTCGACTACCCCCTAACCTACAACCCTAATGCACGGCCTCCACACCTCCCTATCAAGAGTCATCTCCTCGGAAATCTGAAGCTGCGCCATGTCCTGCCTGATCACCTCGCCCCAATACTTCTTAGGCCGCTCTCTACCTCTTCTCATATATATCTGCCAAAGCCAACCGTTCGCACCTCCTAACCGGGGCATCTAGGATTCTTCTCCGCACGTGCCCGAATCATCTAAATGATTCCGCACGTAATTCCAGCTTTGGAATCTCTCTTCCTTCTTTGGATCTCTTTTCTTTATTAGTTATCTAATAGACTTCTCTCTTTAGATTGATTTTGCTTTTCATAATCTTTCCTTATGATTTTTCTTTTTTTCTAAAGCGGCATTCTCCTTTCTATCTATCTTTAATTGAATTATGGAACTTTCTCCCCGAGCTGCGGAACTAACAAGTCTATTAGAAAGTCGAATTAGCAACTTTTACACCAATTTTCAAGTGGATGAGATTGGTCGAATGGTCTCAGTTGGAGATGGAATTGCATGTATTTATGGATTGAACGAGATTCAAGCTGGGGAAATGGTTGAATTTGCCAGCGGTGTGAAAGGAATAGCCTTGAATTTTGAGAATGAGAATGTAGGAATTGTTGTCTTTGGTAATGATACTGCTATTAAAGAAGGAGATCTTATCAAGCGCACTGGATTTATTGTGGTTGTTCCTGCGGAAAAGACTATGCTAGGGCGTGTGGTCGATGGCTTGGGAGTATTAACCAACTAAGCTTACAAATGACATCACGTACATGCATGCACAGGAGGACCTAATTAAAAGACAACATTACGTAGTTTCTCCAACAGTGACAGCATCCAAATAAACATACGATTTCGATCTTTCATAAAAAAGAAAAAGGCTAAGGTGAATTTGTACCTAATCTCGGTGATGAATCAGCAAAAAATTGCAAGTTGGTATGTCAAACACAAAGTTGTTAGAACTAGCTAGTGTGCATGTATCAACTAGCAGTAGATATAATATAGGCTTATCCGAACTTTTAAAATTTTCACCTATTCTGTCTTACTATCCGGTCATAGTCTATATAGGATTTGAATGGAATTTCCTAAAGTAGCGATAACAGTTTAGTTCCCAAAATGTCACGTTAAATAGCTGACGATATTGCTGTCTTATTCTGAATAGTTAGTGGATGCTCGAATTTTTAGGGCATTTTGAAAATGTTTTTGAAATGGATTGTCTAAGACCATTAGTCAAATTACAATGATAGTGCAAAAATTATTTACATTGTTAATATATATAACTTAAATATGTGCTTTATTAATTAGTTAGTCGCTATCAGTTATGATTAGACCTAATAATTCATCCTCCAAGTGATAAGCATGCAAATGATGCAATCAAGCAATTAACGACTACTATCTACTAGTAATATAATCAGTGATAATACTTCCCCACGACATCATGAATATAATCTTTTTCATTTAGCTAGGCATATGTTCAAAGTCTTCGATTGCTTTCTTTTTGACTTAGAATATATAGTTCTTCTAGTTTCCCCTCCCTTCCTTTTTGATTTATTTAAGAAAATCACAGCAGGGCAGGTGGAAAAACGACTGGCCAAATTTAACACTTAACTTTTTACTAAAAAATTATTAAGCTCTTTGTATCGAATTTGTCATCTTTATTCAATCGGCTAATCCTCATCTTTTAGTTTTATCCAAAAGGTAGCTCTGAATTTTAAAGCCATCTTTGACACAAAATATTTTAAAGAACTTTTAGTTTTTTAAACATAAAGTTGCCTTTCTTAATCAAATCAAAACTAAACCAAAATGTTATTACCTTTAGCCCGTAAATGACTTATTTCAATTTTCACCCATTTTCCTACCTATTATCACAGTAATAGCAAGATCTCTTATATAATTAATTCATTTATTATTCCAATATTTTAATATTATTATAGGAATAGAATTATTTTTTCCCTTATATATATTTGGATCATTAAATTCATGGGAGAATGACACACTTACCCACAAAAATAAGATTATTTACCTATATCTACCCATTTATTTTCCTACCCATCAAACTAATTACATTTCCTACCCATAGTAATTTTTGTGGGAAATTTTTTCTTTTTTCTCCAATTCTTTTTATTTCTATTCTTCTTTTCTTTTTTCCTTTTTTTCTTTCTTTTTTCTCGTTTTCTTATTTTTTTTCTTTTTCCTTCTTTAATTTCATTTAAATTCTTTTTTTTATATTCTTTTTCTCTTCATAATCTAATTTCATTTACTGTTTTCACTATTTTTATTATTCTTTTTTTATTCAATAGGAAAAATAACTGATATTGTAAATATTTGTTCACCTTTTTTAATATAACTAGCACAATATACCTTTTTTTTCTTTCTCATTTTTTAAATTCAATTATCAAACTGAAATAATATCAGTTGTCACTTGATTTAATTCACTGAATATCACACTGATTGCTGCTAAGCACCATAAATTACATAATCAGATTCTAAGAATCAACACGTGATTGCCATACAAACATTGATCTCCTTCCCTACAAATATCATTACACACTCTACCATTAGCAGTAATACAACCAGTTATAGAGCAAAAAAACATAATCTACGACAACCAAATCTCCGTATATACTTGTTAGAATAAAAATGATAATAAAATATTGAAAAATGCAATAAAAGTATAAGTAGCAAAAAGATTTCTAGTACCATGTGATACCAATATGGTATATATGTATACCAACAGAGCATACGATTGCTCTAGAATATTGCTACATGCGACTATACTACTGTACCAAAACATTAAAGGACGCAATAAAAGTATGAGAAATTACATGCTCGTATTGCAAGCTAAATATTCGCAAAACAACTTGCTCATTCTGTATACTAACAGGGTATATAGTTGTATGGGGTCGTTCCAACAATTGCCTATAACTATAAAAATTATTACATAATACACATAATTTATGTCCATCGGCACACAAAAATTCCAGCACTGCAAATCATGTTCATATAAATAATTTCATAATAGAATTCACTTAAAATGCAGCTAAAACAATCAAAACAATGTTTAAACTACCATATGATACCAATATGACATATAACTATACCAACATGGTATACAGTTTTACTGGTTAATTCACGGCAACTATATGACTATACTACTATTACATAACACACATGCATAAAGAGAAAAATAAAAAATAGTTTACCACATATTAATATAATAAAGTATTTCAAGAAATTATACTATATTATCATTATTAAAAGAAAATCAAATATTGTACCAATTAAATGCAGCTAATACAACCAAAAAATGATTCAACTAGCATATGAAGTATATAGCTATAATAATAGGGTATATAGTTGGAATGAATTGTATACCAAAATGGTATATTTGTATACTATTTGGGTATACAATACAAGTTCGTCTTCTTCTCTGGTTCAACTATATTTTAACCCAAATTTCTAAAATCTACTACAAAATCTCCACCAAATTGACTAAAACTTTAGCTACAACCTCCAATCAACTTTCCAAACAAACCCATACAGGATCGGATTAAAACAATTAAAAACTCAAACAAACCAAGTTATGAGTTTCAAGTTTCAAGATCCTTCAATGATGGATTTAATTTTCTCACAATAAAATCTTTGAAAAATTAGCATTAACATCATAATCAAAGAACAATACCCAATAAATTCCAACAGCAAACACTTCAACACACATGAAAATTCAAATTTTAGTTAGATAGTACATCTTATTTTTTGTTTTACTTTTAGGAGATAAAATAAATTATGGAGCACAAATAAAAAAGAAGAAGGGTGATGATAGCAAGAAAAAGGTACAATACTAACAGCATACAAATGCTATCTCTTTTGTGATTGAACTTCCGATTGAGAATTGTGATTTTTCATGGAGTAAAAGAGAAAAATTAATTTTGAAACTTCTTAAAAGTGTTTGCTGCTTCTCATTGAGAAATGGGTAGCGGCAGCAACGAGAATTGATGAGGAGATAAAAATAGAAAGCTAATTATTTATTGGTTGGGCGGGTAATTAGTTGTAATAGAATAGGTATTTGATGTAATTACTTTTAAAATGGGTAATTACGGGTAATTACTTTTGATTAGGTAGGTATATAGGGTAGTTTTCCCTAAATTCATTGTGTCTGTCAAAATTGAGAGCTGATAGAGAAAACTTGAGCTGAAGCTCAATTGCCATGGCTGAGATCCATGAAGCTCAGAGGAGAAGAAGAAGCTTCGAGAGAATTTCAGATTGGGGAAATATTTCTCATTAGATAGAAATCAGAAAAGTTAGTTCGTTTATATATAAGACACTGTATTTGTACAGTTGTCATCCTCCACTAACCGCCTAAAACTACCACTAACTAATAACCTGACATCAACTAACATCCTAACTAACTAATTGCAATAATAGCCATAGCTAATTCTAACAATTAATAAATGTGGCTACTAGTTAAATAATTACAATGCAACTCTAATCTTAGCACCCCTCCCCCCCCCCCCCCCCTCAAATTGGAAGGGAGGTACTCACTGCCAACTTGTGAAGTAATGAAGAATGCTTGATGCCTGTCAAGGACTTAGTAAGTATGTCTGCTAGTTGTTCGTCTGTGTGGACATAATGCAGAGAAATCAGACCGTCAATGAGCTTGTCCCTAACAAAGTGGCAATCTACCTCTATATGTTTTGTCCGTTCATGAAACACTGGATTCCTCACAATGTGCAAAGTTGCTTGGTTATCACAGTAGATTGGAATGGGAAGAGTTAGAGGCATGGTCAGCTCCTCAAAAGTTTAGATAACCAAACAAGCTGTACAACTACCTTTCTCGCAGACCTGTATTCTGCCTCTGCAGAGCTTAAAGATACAGTGTACTGCTTCTTTGATTTCCAATTGATTGGATTGTCCCCATGCAATACAATAAAATCACTAATAGACTTTCTGGCCTCAGGATAAGCTGCCCAATCTGAGTCGCAAAATGCTCTCAATCTATAATCTGCACTATTTGATAAGAAAATCCCCATACCAGGATCACCTTTCAAGTACCTGAGCACATGCATAGCAGCTTTGAGATGAGAATCTCGAGGACTCTGCCTATATTGGCTGAGATGTTGAACACTATAAGCAATATCAAGTCGTGTGTTGGTGAGAAAGTTCAGCTTCCCCACTAATTTCCTGTATTGAGTGGGATCTGTGAGCAGGTTCCCTTCATTTGCCTTTAACTTTGTCGAAGAATTAAGTGGAGAGGACATTGGAGTACAGTGTGAACATTTAAACTCTCGTGTCAGATCCCTTGTAAATTTTCTTTATGTGATTATTACTCCATCATGTTTGTACAGTATCTCCAAGCCTAGAAAGTAATGTAATCTCCCAGGTCCTTTATCTTAAAAGTCTCATGTAGAAAAGTTTTCAATGCCTTAATTTCTTCTAAGTTTGTCCCTGTCAAGAGAACATCATCCACATAAACTGCTACAAAAACCACTGAATTGCCTACTCTTTTATAAAACAAAGAATAATCCAGCATGGAATGCACATATCCCCTGGAACATAGGGCCTCAGTTAACTTGGCATACCACTGCCTGCTTGCCTGCTTCAACCCATACAATGACTTATTTAGCTTGCACACCAAATTCTGTTTGTCTACTGGTAGCCCTGGTGGCACTTGCATATATACTTCTTCATTCAGGTCTCCACGTAGGAAGGCATTATTTACATCAAGCTGAAAGATCTCCCAGTTCTTCTTTGTTGCTATGCTAACCAATGCTCTGACAGTTGTCATCTTTACAACTGGTGAGAAAGTCTCAGTATAATCTATTCCTACCTCTTAACAACCAGCCTAGCTTTAAATCTTTCAACACTCCCATCTGCCTTATGCTTAATTTTGTATACCCACTTACAACCTATTGCCTTCTTCCCTGCAAGTAGTGGAACAAGATCTCAGGTATGATTGGAGTAAAGTGCATCAAATTCCTGGTTCATAGCCTGTTGTCAAGCAGGTATGGCTGCTACCTCTTCATATGACTCAGGTTCACAGTCAGTAGAAAGAGTTTCAAGTAAATGCTGACTATCATTACTCAGTGCATTAAGGGATATAGGTTGTAAATGAGGAACATGTGTGTGAAAAGAAAAAGAGGGTGAACTATGAGTATCATCTGCAACCTGCTTTCCACCATTAGTATTAAGAGTGGGTGAATTGCATATGTTATCCTTCAAATAACTAGGAGGTTTAAGTGTTCTTTGAGGTCTATTATGAGTTAGGGTTATAGTCTGCTCAGATTGTGCAGAGTTTGGTGAAACATTCAAAAGGGATTGTTCCTGGTTCTGGGAGTGGAAACAAGGTTCAGGTGATGTGTTGGAGGTTCTATTTGAGTTAGAGGAGCTTTGGCAGTCTGGTTGAGATGGTGATATAGGTTCATAAATGTTATCATTAGTGTCATTGCCAAATGAGAGTTCAGGTGACATTAATTGTTGATGTGGATCACCACTATTACTGTTAGCATTAGGACTGACAATGTCAACATGACTCATGCTAGGTCCTATAAGAGGAAAAGGAAGAGATTGATGCTCATATTTAGATGACACATCACTGTGCTTTCCTGGCAATGCAAAGGGAAAAATTGTTTCATGAAAGGTCACATCTCTTGAAACATGTATTTTCCTTGTGGTTAGGCTTAGAACTTTGTATCCTTTTGATCCAAAGGGGTATCCTACAAAAACATGGGATGTTGATCTTGGCTCAAATTTATCTTTGTGAGGTTTCAGGTTTGTAGGGAAACATAGACAACCAAAACTCCTAAGATGTGAGTAGCTTGGTTTCTTTTTATATAGAATTTCAAAAGGGCATTTCCCTTTAAGGGATGTAGATGGCAATCTATTGATCAGGTAGTAAAAGTTAGAATGCGCTCTCCCCAATACCTTATGGGTAATTTGGACTGATATAACAATGTTGTTGCAGTTTGAAGTAGGTATTTGTGTTTTCTTTCGACTATGCCATTCTGTTGTGAAGTGTATGGACAGGTTTTCTGGTGTGTGATTCCCTTGGCTTGGAAGAACATAGCTGTTTCAGTATTCACAAATTCTAAACCATTATCAGTTCTGATGGTCTTTATTGAGGTATTGAACTAGTTTTGGACCATTGCATAGAAGGCCTTTATAACATGCAGGGCATTGCTTTTGCTGCTTAATAGATGTGCCCAGGTACATCTACTATAGTCATCAACTAGGGTAATAAAATACTTGTGATTATCATGAGTTGATGCATGATAAGGACCCCACATGTCCACATGTAAGATTTCAAATGTCTTGGTTGTGGAAGTAGTTTTCACTGGGAAAGGAGATCTAGTTTGTCTGGCCATAGGGCATATGGAACACAGAAAAAGTTATTTATTTGCAAAGGTTATTGGTATGAAATTGATACCCTTCATCTTGAGCCTATTATGCCACAAGAGATCCACAGGGCTTTCATTAGAGGTATATGCATTGCACACTGAGTCTGTTTTATTAGAAGAACTTTTATTGGAGTTCAAGAAGACTTGTACACTTTTATTATCACAATCATGAGAAGAAATGGATGCACTAGATGCTGAATTACAAGGGTGTTGACATTGTACATTATTGATACTGTGACTACCTGAGATGGGTGCACTAGGTGCAGAGCTGTGTGTGAGTGATGTGGTGGAGACTCTATTTACAGTAGAAGAATTATTCTTTCTTGAACTTGGATAGTGAAGGTAGAGACTGCCTTTAGCCTTACCAATCTCCAGAGGCCTCCTCAGTGAAAGGCCCTGTAGAAGAATACATGAGAATTTAGTGAATATGATGATGCAATCAAGTTGGACTGCCAATGAGTGAACAGAAATTAGATTGAATTTGAAACTAGGCACATATAGAACTCTTTTTAGAATGAAATGAGGACTGAGAATGACATCTCCAATTATTGTCACCTTTACTTTATATCCATTTGGCAAAGAGACCAAGAAAGGGTAAACTAAAGTTTTGATATTGCTTAATGAGGCTTTATTATAGGTCATATGGTTAGTGGCTCCTGAGTCAAGAATTCAGGAATCAGCATTTTCTTTGAAACTTTCATAAGACTGTTTACTTGACTCAACAGAAGAGGTACAAGCAGTCATACCTGCAAAGTTAACAGCACCACTAGGGGTGTGCATTCGATTTATCGAATCGATTTTGACCCTTATCGATAATTACTTATCGATTATCGATTTGTACATATGCTTATCGTTATCGTTTCAATAAGGTTTCGATTTTTTCGATTTCGATTTACCGATTTTTGGGGCTTATCGATTCGGTTATCGATTACACCAATAAGAAAATTTGCGGGATTCCACGGGAAGTATATCGCTATAAACACGCCTAACTAATATGGACAAAAAGAAGCTAAAATAAGACGAACGCCGTTTATAACATAAAAATTGTGTCAACAAGCACATGCAACGAAACTAAAGTAAGGGATCAAATGTATGCCACCAACACTCCAACGGTATAAAAAAACAAAAAACAAAATACATCATCACGGCTAATTTCTGTTTTCCATTAATTTGAACTTCATTCCCTTGAGCTTTAAATATGATCATTCCTTAAATGTGGTAGAGGAAATAATAGGGTTAGGGACTTAGGATAAAGAAAAGGGTATTATAGAATAAGGGTAAAAAAAATTGTATATCTTATCGGTTTATCGATAAACCGATAACCGAAGAGGACAAAATCGAAATCAAAATCGATAACTCGATAAGGAAAATTTCGAAATCGAAATCGATAAATCGATAAACCGATATCGATAAACCGATAACAAATAATCGATTCGATTTATCGATAAACCGATTCGAATGCACACCCCTAAGCACCGCCGGTCATGTTTATGTTTCCTGAGTTGTCTCCACTGTTTCCATTCTTAAAGGGCTCCAATATGCTCAGCAGTTGTGCATATTTCTCTTTGCTCAATTGTTGCATGGTTCGACCTTGCTCCTGAAGATTTCCTCCTTCATCTGGCATGTTTGTTGCATCACTTGCTGTTTCAAACACATTAGCTGCTAATTTCCTTCCCTGTTGCCATTATTGTACTTCAAATTCAGAGGATATCCGTATAGTTTATAGCATTTATCCTTAGTGTTGCCTGGCCTTTTGCAGAAATCACAGAATAGCCTAGGTCTATTTCCCATATAACCTCTTCCATAGTTGTTGTTCCCAGTAGCATTTGTGTGTTGGTTGTAGTTTGTCCTAAAGGTGTTCTTTCCAGACCATTAACACTCAACTATGTGGACTCAATCACTAGTTGCTGATTTTGTGGTTTAACTTCCCTTTGCTTCTCTTCTTGTATGAGAATGGAAAAAGCTTGAGCAATGCTTGGAAGGGGGTTCATCATCAGTATGCTCCCTCTCACAACAGTATACACCTCATTTAAACCCATTAAAAAATGTATCAGTCTTCTATCTTGCTCAGCCTTGTGCATATTAGCTTTAGCTCCGCAGGTGCACTGGCAGCTGCATTGTGCGTGTGCATTCAGTGTGTTTAGATCCTCCCATAACTTTTTATTTTTGTATAATAGCCTGTTATATCAAGGGTTCCCTGACTCAAATCATTAATTTCCTTCTGAAGTTGGTAGAGTTTTGCTCCATTGGTTTGATCATACCTATCTTCTAACTCCTGCCACAGCTCCTTCGCATCATTCACATATTGCAAACTATCCGCTAGATCCTTTGAAAGGGAATTTAGAATCGATGAAGTTACCATATCATCACATCGCTCCCACTGATCAAAAGTTGCATGTCCAATTGTTGGTTTCTGACACTTTTCTGTCATGAAACCAACCTTATTCTTCAGAGAGGGCTCTAAGTACACCTCTCCTCCAAGATCTGTATCCTGTGCCATCAAAAGCCACAAGTACCAATACTGAACCTGCACTCTGCGATGGATGCATGTATAGGGGACTCGAGGTATCTAAGCTGTCCTTTTCTACAGCACTTTCCTTGTCTCCAGCCATTGCTTAGATCGCAGATCTCAATTGATTTAACCGTGAATTGAAAGCGAGAAATGGAAATTCAACAGAGACAACACAGATAACCACACTTCGAGAAAACAGAGGCTAAAAGTACTAAGAATTGTCACTATTAGACGAGATCACAGTGACAATTATAGTTTCGAACAGAATTTCAAACGATTAACGATTTCGAAGAAAACCTAGATTCTTCGATCCAAAATTGAAGAGGAGATGAAGTAAGAAACTGTGAATTACCTCAGTATATGACTCCTACGCTCTGATACCATGTCAAAATTGAGAGCTGATGGAGAAAAACTTGAGCTGAAGCTCAATTGCCATGGCTGAGATCCATGAACTCAGAAGAGAAGAAGAAGCTTCGAGAGAAATTCAGATTGGGGAAATATTTCTCATTAGCTAGAAATCAGAAAAGTTAGTTCGTTTATATACAAGACACTGTATTTGTACAGTTGTCATCCTCCACTAACCGCCTAAAACTACCACTAACTAATACCCTGACATCAACTGACATCCTAACTAACTAATTGCAATAATAGCCATAGCCAATTCTAACAATTAATAAATGTGGCTACTAGTTAAATAATTACAATGCAACTCTAATCTTAACAGTGTCAAACATGCTTGGTGATTTAGGGATAAATTAAAATGTTCCCAGTATCTAGATACATTTGATAATATGAGGGTTTGATACGAAATAATTCCACCCAAGCGAAAGTTATTGTGTATGACCAGTTATAATTCAAATAGAAAAAATGATCCTACAAGAATATTTTATGTGTTATGAAACAATAAAAGAACAAGAACAATATTGCAGAGAAAAAGAGAGAGAGAGGATTCTTATTGATATTGGATGATTTACAATGGAATAGGACCCCTCTATTTATAGGGAGAGGGTGACTTAGCCACCAAATAATAAACCCTAGAATCTCTCTAAATATAGACATTCACCATAAATAAAATTTATTTATAACACTCCCCCTTGAATGTCTATTCAACAGATAATGTGCCTCGTTAAAACCTTAACTAAAATAAAACCCAGTGGGAAAAAAATTCTAGAAAAAGAAAAGAGTACACATATCTAATAATACGCCTTTCGGTTGCCTCGTTAAAAACCTTGCAAGGAAAACCCAGTGGGACAAAACCTTGTAAGGGAAAAAGAGTACAACGCGTATTAACTCCCCCTCACGAGAGCATCAATTCACATCCTTAAGCATTTGCATTCCAATCTTGTGCACCATCTTCAAAAGATCTTTGGTAGATATTTGATAAACAAATCAGCCATATTAACTTGAATGAATATATTGCACCTTGAAATCATCATTCTTGATAGAGATGGATTGTCTTCATATGATCTTGTTGAAATCGTCAGTTCAATATCTTCACATAGAGGTGAAAACTCTTGCTATCATATTATCTTGCTTATAGTTATAGCAAGATACATATGCACAAATTACATTTAGGATATAGTACTTCATGACCATGAATTCTATATGCTTTAAGCAATTTAAATCCTTCAAGGATTTTTAAGTCATATAAGCCATATAATAGACTTTAGATGCATATCAAGTTTTCATGTCATGCTAGACATATAAGATATCGAAAACTGATTGCACATACCATTGACTTATACTTTCAAGTGTTTGAACTGCATGTTCAAAACTACATTGGCTTTCTTATGTAAACCAATNGTGGTTGTCGACAACGACAATGCCATCCCACTTGCATACATATACTGAAGTACTAAACAGTACTTTATTTCCTATGGAGACTGCCGGCACAATACGAAAAATAAACGTGCAAAAAATATGTTCTAAGTCAATGTTTCTACCCTTTCCTTTTTCGTTTNAAATTATTGAGCAAGTTACCTCGCAAACACCATGTTGCGGGTTAATAATAATCGCAGATGTAACCATCTCATAGATGCATCTTATGTGGTATACATGGCAGGTGAATGAGCCCATATTCACCTTTGATATTTCCAGCATTCATGGGATTCGATCCCAATTTTAGTTGATCTATTAATTAATGAGAACAAGCAATGTAAGAGAATTCGTAAAGAACTTTCTAGTTCTTTAATATTTACCCATGTGAATTCTCTTTTATTTTTGCACATCATACTTGAATTAACATGGCTAAACCAATTATGCCAACTGGATAAATTATCAATATTGATAAACTTCAGGTTTACACCATGATGTGTGCAATTATGAATAAGCTCCAAGTTTATTATGATATGGTTTTTTATATCAATAAATATCCACTTCATTGTGGTATTCTTTTGTTTATGTAGTACAAATTGGAGAATAAAGCGGGTAGCTTTTCACATACATATTACCCCGCTACAAGTTGTGGTAATAGAAGATATTAAATATTTCCTTTATTTATAGTCTCAATATAATCAACCGCTTTCGCATATACTTTGGAAACTGAATAAGTTTCTTTGAGACTTACTACAACACAATACCTTATTGGTAATTAATTGTGTTTCTCCAAAATAGTATAATTGGCTCTTGCAGAGTTCTCAATTAATTTTGTAGTACCACATATTTATCAACACCCATATGGTGAATCTCTTTTAAGGAGAAAGTTATACCATTATGGTCATGGTCAAAATTATATGCAAGATCTGTTTCTTGCATTACCGTTGTCTTTTAATAATCACAATGCCAAAATATTTTGGCGTACAATAGGTACGTGACCAATGACCATTCATGCCATAATAATGACATTATTTCTTATATCATCTCAAACCTCCTTTTAGAGGTGAGTGCGGTATATTCACTACCACTAGCACGTTCATATTCTTTGAAGAATGAATATGTATTCATAAATCAGATATTGTCGCATTCACATCATGAATGGACCATAATCATCTATATGTGCTTTACAAAATCTCATGTCAAATTAATGACAAATATTTTTCACAGAGTGAAAGATTATTTTGAGAATCCTTATTGTTCTCATTATCACAATGATGACGATTATAATTTCGTCTATTGCCACGTCCACATCCATTGATACATTCATAGTGATAATTTTGTCTTCTTTCAGACTTATCACATACTGCTATCACATTCTCTTAAAGGAATGAGAATGGAGCAAATTCAATGGGACGGGTTTCCACTTTTTGTGCCCATAATCATACATGAATTTGATCATGGCAAGACATAGAAATTTTTACCACTTCAGGTGGTTATAATTTCTTACAAACTCCATTAGAGTTATAATCAAACTTTGTTGTCTTTGCTTGTATATAAAATCAAAGTATAGAATAAAAGAGAAAAATACGGTAAAATACTTACCTTAAATCCAGAATTTAATCATGAAGGAAGTTCATGGAACAATTGACAATCATTATGCTCAATCCCAAAGCTTCTGCTCAATTGGTTAGAGTCTCGTGCTGATAACGTGTTATGAAACAATAAAAGAACAAGAACAATATTGCAGAGAAAAAGAGAGAGAGAGGATTCTTATTGATATTGGATGATTTACAATGGAATAGGACCCCTCTATTTATAGGGAGAGGGTGACTTAGCCACCAAGTAATAAACCCTAGAATCTCTCTAAATATAGACATTCACCATAAATAAAATTTATTTATAATATTATGTATTTTATTAACCCCACTCCTATGCTTTTTTTTATCGATCTCCTACAAAAGATTATAAAACAAAAAAAAAATTGTAATGAATCATAAAACTGACATCCTAACTAACTAATTGCAATAATAGCCATAGCCAATTCTAACAATTTATAAATGTGGCTACTAGTTAAATAATTACAATGCAACTCTAATCTTAACAGTGTCAAACATGCTTGGTGATTTGGGGATAAATTAAAATGTTCCCAGTATCTAGATACATTTGATAATATGAGGGTTTGATACGAAATAATTCCACCCACGCGAAAGTTATTGTGTATGACCAGTTATAATTCAAATAGAAAAGATGATCCTACAAGAATATTTTATGTATTTTATTAACCCCTCTCCTATGCTTTTTTTTTTTATCGATCTCCTACAAAAGATTATAAAACAAAAAAAGAAATATGTAATGAATCATAAAACTGATATCCCGCGGAAAGTAATATAGTTAGAGTATAGTAACAAGGAAAAAGGAAAGGAGTACATAGAAGGTAAAAATAGAATGCACACAAGTCTATGACCCGTATTTAAAAACAATTGGTTGAATTTCCTTTCATTATAATTGTCCAAGAGAAAAAATATGAAAATAAAGTTGATCTCTTTTGTTTGTTTGGTAAGTGGTTGTCGACAACGACAATGCCATCCCACTTGCATACATATACTGAAGTACTAAACAGTACTTTATTTCCTATGGAGACTGCCGGCACAATACGAAAAATAAACGTGCAAAAAATATGTTCTAAGTCAATGTTTCTACCCTTTCCTTTTTCGTTTCAAACTTCAAAGGATAACATGTCCTTTTTCATGCTTATTTATTCGGTTATACTATATTTTTTCATACACAAAGGTGAATCCAAATTTTTTAAGTTTATCCTATAAGTTTGTTGATTAGATTCACTAATTTTAAAATTATGTGTCTATATTTATTGTTTGTTACGATTTTAATGAATTTTTATACATAAATTTATGTTCAAAAGCAATGAATCACGCCCCTATTTGTACGGGCAGCTTCTTCATCATATATATTATATAAACCCTTACTCCTTACAAGTTCTCAACCTACTCATTGTACTTTGGTGGAAACAAGTACCAAAAAAGCTCCTTAAATGGCCAAAATTTATCCAGAAACATTCAAGAACTCTAATTCTCCTTCGTTTACCTCTCCTAATTATGTGACGTCCACAAGAGAAACATTCACTATATGGATGAAATCCCTAGTGTTCCATGGGAATGGTTGTACTGTCTTTAATTCTAAAGGTGAAATTGTTTTCAGAGTTGACAACTACCAAGAAACAAGTAGCAATGAAGTATTTCTCATGGATCTTTATGGACAAGTTCTCTTCTCCATTAAAAAAGAGGTAAAAGAAAAAACTTTAATTAGTTTATTTTTTAAGTATTTTGCTGTGATATCCATAATATGGAAATTGAACTTTGTTTTTTTTTTTTTCCCCAGAAGCTAAGATTATTTGGTCGTTGGAATGGATATTTAAGCAGTGGATTTAAAGGGAAACCATGGTTTCAAGTGAGAAGGAATTGCAAGTATTTTTCACGATTAGGAGAAGTCATATGTAATGTGAATTTGGGCTGTGAAAAATCTATAGGAAGCTGCTATAAGATTCAACAAACTGATAAAAAATCATCATTTAAAGTTTCAGATAGTGCTGGTCAAGTTGTTGCAGAGGTTAGTGATCCTTTGACTTCTCCAGTCCATAGAATTTATATTGTTTTCTTTTTATATTAATAAATTTCATTTCATTTTGATTATGTATGAATTAAAAAGGATTGTACTAAATTTTGTTTTATTTAATTTGGTATATGTATTACAGGTAAAACAGAAACAGTCATCAGTAGGATTTGGGTATGGAGATGATGTGCTAACTCTAGAAGTGGAACCCCATGTTGATTACTCGTTTATTATGGCTCTTGTAACAGTATGCGGTTTGATTAAACGAAGATTATAAAAGAACAACTAGACAGATAATGAGAAATTGACACCTATAAAGTATAGGGGCAAGTACACAGATAGTCATTCTCAAGTATGCTATTTAGAGATTAATCAGTACTTATTTTGTCCTGAAATTTTAAACTAAAAATCTTGACTTCAGGGCAACTCAGAACATTTATATCCTAAAAAATTAAACTGAAAAACTGAAATTCAGGACGTACTGGCTAAATTCTAAATAGCAGCCCTTTAGAGTGGCTACCTGGTGTCATTTCTACCAAAAGTGTAATCTTGAAGAGTTCAAAGTTCATGGGCTCCTCCGCATGAATCGTATTGGGCTTCACGCTCAACTTGGGCCGTATGCTGACTCAAGCCCAATGGGGAATTTGCATCTATACCCGCTTTTTGGGTCACGTTTTAACTTGTACCCGCTTTGCAAAAAAATTGCAAGCATACCCACTTTTTCGCGTAACTTCAGCATATGGGCCTGAAGTAGCAAAGGCAATCACGCAAACTTCTGCATTCTAGTAGACGGGCCTGAAGTAGCAAAAATTGCTGAACCAAGTGTGCTGAAGTTTTTGTTTGTAATTGTTGAACTTCAGCATGTTTTAGCTGAAATTTTTCACGTAAACTTAGTGTTGGCTGAAGTTTTTGTTTGTAATTGCTGAACTTAAGCATTCTAGTAGCTGAAGTTTTGTTCTCTATTTGTTGAAGTTTTTGTTTGTAATTGATGAACTTAAGCATTCTAGTAGCTAAAGATTTGTTCTCTATTTGCTGAAGTTTTTGTTTGTAATTGCTGAACTTCAGCATGTTTTAGCTGAAGTTTTTCATGTAAACTTAGTGTTGGCTGAAGTTTTTGTTTGTAATTGCTGAACATAAGCATTCTAGTAGCTGAAGTTTTGTTCTCTATTTGCTTTACTTCAGCATGTTTTAGCTGAAGTTTTGTTCTATATTTGCTGAACTTAAGCATGTTTTATGCCATCATGTAATTGATTTTTTGTACAGATAATAAGTTTATCATAAGTAGAATTAGTAACTTAATAAACTAGATAAATGAATTAGCACAACGGGTTAAATTGCATTGATAATGTACAAAGCTGATGTGACGACCTGACCCGTCGTCACGTGTGTTACCGCCCCGTTTTCCCCATTTTCTATTTCCTTATGTTTCAGTATCAGTATTAGATGTGTTAGAGTTGATTTGGATTGGGTTTGATAAGAAATGAGACACTTAGTCTCTTTTTAAGAAGGCTTAAGTTGAAAAAGTCAATCGGACGTTGACTTTTGTGTTAGAGGGCTCGGATATGAAATCCGATGATTTGGTTAGCTTCAGGGGATGATTTGTGACTTAGGAGTGTAATCAAAAGTAATTTTGGAGGTCCGGAGTAGAATTAGGCTTGAATTGGCAAAGTTAGGATTTTGACGAATTCCGGTCGATAGGTGAGATTTTGATACGGGGGTCGGAATAGAATTCCGAGAGTTGCAGTAGCTTCGTTAGGTGATTTGGGATGTGTGTGCAAAATTTCAGGTTATTCGGAGGTATTTTGGTTGGGTTTTTGATCGAATGCATGTTTCAGAAGTTTTGGAAGAACTTATGCTTGAATTCGATGAGAAATGATGGTTTTAGTGTTGTTTGAGGTGTTTTGATGATTGGAGCAAGTTTGAATAAGGTATTGGATCATGTTTGTGTTTTTGGTTGAGGTCCCAGGGGCCTCGGGTGATTTCGGATGCCTAACGGGAAGTTTTGAACTTAAGAGATTGCAGAACCTGTGCTGCTTCTGATATTTTCGCTTCTGCGGAAAAGGGGCCGCAGAAGCGGTACCGCAAAAGCGAGGTAAAGACCGCAGAAGCGACAACAATCGCAGTTGCGAAGATGCCAACCGCATCTGCGGAGTCGCAGATGCGACCAAAGGACCGCAGATGCGGAAATTTGGAATTTTTTGAGGTTCCGCAGAAGCGGAACAATACGGCAGATGCGGTAGTCGCAGAAGCAACAAAGGCACCACAGAAGCGGAAATAACTGATCAGAAGTGGGTTTTAATCCCTTCGCGAAGTTTTACAGAAACATATTTTTAACTTCGGACTTAGGGTGTTCTTGAGCGATTTTGAAGAGGAAATTCAAGGACTTCGATCAGGTAAGCATTCTTGGACTTAGAACACAATTTTACCATGCAAATACATGAAATTACACTGAAAACTCAAGGAATTAAGGTCAAAAATGGTGGTTTAGGGCTTGAAACCTAAGAGAACAAAAATGAGAATTTGAGGGGTCATTTGGACTCCGATTTTGGTGTTCTTTATATGCATGGACTCGTGGCGAGATAAGGAATCCGGTGGTATTAATTTTATAATTTTTCGAGAAGTGGGCCCGGGGCTCGGGTTTTGCCAACTTCGTGATTTTCGATGTTTTTCGAGTCTTTTCGATTGGGTTATATTCCCTTAGTATATTGTGACGTATTCGTTGTGGTTTTGGTCAGATTCGACGCACGAAGAGGTGAATTCGAAAGGCAAGGGCATAACAAGCTAGGACTTTGGCCGGCTTGAGGTTAGTAATAAATGTAAATGCTGTGTTGAGGGTTTGAAACCCCGAATTTGCATATCGTAGTGCTATGTGAGGTGACTTGCACGCTGGATAACGGGCATGGGGTATAGCACCGTCAGGGATTGTGACTTGGTCCGTCCCGCTTAATAAAAATTACTACCTAATTGATTGTGGTTTTGTGATATCCTTATAAAAATGGATTAATTGTCATAATTGGGCTTCGTGTCAACTACTTGAATCCTTCAGGGATTATTTTTACTGGTTTCTTACCATATTTCTAGATATTGAACTCAGTCTTGGTATTTAACACTGTTTTTGTAAAATCACCCATTTTTCTAAAAGTAGAAACTAAAGTAATATTTTTAAATGAAGTGTGGGCTGAATATTTTTATAGTATTGTGCCGAAAGGCTTATGTGATTTTGGACTGAGTATGGGATCGGACTGCACGCCGCAGTGGTATGATATTGATATTGATATGAGGCCAAGGGCCTGTTTGATTCCACGATATGGCTTATTATTGCGCTTGGGCCGTAAGGGGCCCCTCCCGGAGTCTGCACACCCCCAGTGAGCGCCGTCGACGTTAAATAAATGGAGCGGGCTACACGGCCGCAGCGGGGTACTGGAGAGTACCGGTTTATGTGTTGCATTGCATATTTAATTATCATCTATTCTTAATCTGATGTGACTTTATTATAATTATTTTCAATGTTTACTGTATTATGTTATTGAATTACATTGTTGTATTTATAGCTTTGCTTTGTGTTAATTTGGGATTTCTTATCCTCAGACTTTATTTATATTTATTACTTTCTGGGTTGGAAGTACTCACAATACTCCCTGCACCTTGTGTGCAGATTCAGGTACACCACAGGGTGAGTGAGGACTTGTTGGTTGAGCAGAGTTTATCCGGGAGTATCGAGGTAGCTGCATGGCATTCGCAGCCTTGGTCTCTCCCATCTATTTTATCCTTTTATTCGTATTTTTCCTAGACAGACTTGTGATAGGTGAATATTTCGTTTTAGAGGATCATGTTCGTTACACCAGATCTGTGGGCTATTTAGCATTTTCTTTTGGAGTTTTCGGATGTTAGAAATTATATCAGAGATTCCGTATTTAAATTGTTATTTTTGCTTCTAAATATTATTTATCCATCTAGGTTAATTGGCTAAGGTTGTGTAAATGGTCGGGCTTGCCTAGCAGTGTGTTGGGCGCCATCACGACCGGGGTTGGGTCGTGACAAGGTGGTATCAGAGCCTAGGTTACTTGGTCTCGCGAGTCATGAGCCGGTTTAGTAGAGTCTCGTGGATCGGTACGGAGACGTCTATACTTATCCTCAAGAGGCTACAGAACCTTAGGAAATACTCCATATTCTTGAAACTCTTGTCGTGCGGTTTTGTTGAACTGTGAACTAAATCTTTGTTATTCTATTCTCTCACAGATGGTAAGAACACGAGCTACCGAACGTGACGGACAACCACCAGTGCCACCTACTGAGGCCGCCAGAGGCCGTGGACGCGGTCATGGTCGTGGCAGGGGTAGAGTAGCCAAGGCAGCACCTGTTAATCCGATAATTGCCCCAGCTCAGGATCAGGTTCCAGCTGTGGAGACCCCAGCAGCACCTGCTCAGGCACCAGCCGTGCCTATTGTGATTCCGGGTCTTCAGGAGACCTTGGCACAGATCTTGACGGTCTGTACTGGATTGGATCATGCAGTTTCTACCACAGCAGCAGCAGCGACTTCACATACAGGGGGAGGCAATCAGACCCCCGATGCTCGCACACCTGCGCAGAGAGTGCAGGGAGTGCAGGGGCTACAGACACCGGAGGCACCTCCAGCTCAGCAGGTTGCACCAGCTCAGGGTTTTGTGGTTCCAGTTATGCCAGACGATGAGCAGCGTCGTCTCGAGAGGTTTGGTAGACTCCAGCCTCCGACTTTCGGTGGTGCTGAGGGCGAGGATGCCCAGAGTTTTCTTGACAGATGCCAGCGTATGCTCCATACGGCGGGAATCCTCGAGTCGAGTGGTGTGGCATTTACTACTTTTCAGTTCACGGGGGCTGCTCTTACTTGGTGGGAGGACTTTGAGAGGCGTAGGCCTGCAGGTGCAGCACCTCTGACTTGGCAGCAGTTCTCAGCTCTTTTTCTGGAGAAGTATATACCTCAATCCCGCAGGGAAGAGTTGCGTAGGCAGTTTGAGTGGTTAACACACGGAGATATGATAGTGACTCAGTACGAGATGAGGTTTTCCCAGCTGGCTCGTCATGCTACTTGGATGGTTCCATCAGATCGTGAGAGGATCAGGAGATTTGTGGATGGTCTTAACTACCATCTCCGTATTCTGATGACTAGAGAGAGAGTACTGGGTGCTACGTTTGAGGAGGTGGTAGACATTGCTCGTGAGATTGAGTCAGTTCGCCGTAGAGAGCGAGAGGAGAGGGAGGCTAAGAGGCCTCGTGGATCGGGCGGTTACAGTGGTGCTCCTTCAAGGGGTCAGTTCCAGCAGGGTAGAGGTCGCTCTTTCAGGCCTGCTCAGTCAGCTCGTCCAGAGTATTGTGGGGGATCTTCAGGCCGTGGTCATTATGGGCCCCAGCAGGGTCAGACTTTACTCAGCGCCCTCCCAGCTCAGAGTTCATCTCATGCCCCATCAGTTCAGGGTTCTTCTACGCCGAGTGCATCTGCTAGTCACTCCGGTGCGAGAGGTTTTCACCAGTCCCCATCTTCAGTACCGGGCAGCTGCTATGAGTGCGGAGAGTTGGGCCATTTTAGGAGGCACTGCCCTCGCCTTCGCAGCAGACAACATCAGCAGAGGGGTCAGCCCTCAACTTCTGCCCCAGTTACTTCATCACCCGCCTAGTCAGCTAAGGGTGGAGATCAGGCAGCCAGGGGTCGCCCCAGAGGTGGAGATCGATCAGGCGGT